GGATGAGGACGTGGGTGGGGGAGGCCCCATAAACAAGGTGATATATAATATTTTTTTTGTTCTCCTTTTAAATAAATACCGATCAGCTTTATGTTCAGAGACAATAGGAGCCGTTGGCTTAAATTTGCAGTTTACTGTATTTATGGCTGTAATATCAAGGTGCTGCCGTCGTAATTTCATGCCCCAATGAGAAGAGCAAGGTCGAAGCAAATGCTTCCTTCGGCATCTGCTAACACACTAACTCATAAACAAGGCCCGGCTGGATCAGGTGGCACGGAATAATACAGGCTAATGAAATACAGCACAGCTTTCCATTACTGTTAGTTTTTACAGTGTCGTCATTACGTGTAATTTATGTTTAAAAAATTCAATTTTATACAAGGCACTGGGAAATAGGGGTCTACAGGTCATCCAACGACTTCTAGAGGCTCCAGAGTCCTTATTGGACTCTCCTCTTCCAACAAAATGTTAATAAAATAAAATAAAAATACTTTCTCCCCTTCCCGTTCCCCTTGGCGAGTCTCTTGTACAAGAGTTGGTTTTTCGTGTACTTTGGGAAGTATTTGAGCCAGCCGCCTTCTCTGCCTCCTCTCCTCCCGGTAACTAGCTGTGTTCCCAGAGGTGACGGTGCTCGGTGTCTGTGAGTCCCGGGAGTGGGACTGCATGCGGATGGCGGAGGAAGAGCGCCAGTTCCTGGCCTTTTATCCCAGGTGCGGTGCCTCCAGTCCCCCGGCCCTGTGCCCTTGAGCCCTGCAGGGGCTGGAAGGTGTTCTCACACCGCCCCTACTGTCCCGGCACTGTTTGGCCTGCTGTCTGCTGTCCCCTGTCTCTGCTTCACCTGCCCAGGGCCAGCCCCAGGCTCAGGGCGCAGCTCTGAGAATCCATTGCACAGCCCCTTGGGGTGTCCGGCATGGCATGACCAAGGGAAGGTGCCTGGGGCAGCTCACCAAGGAGGCTGAGGCCTTCGGTTTAGCTTTGTATTTTTGACAGAAACCTTTAGAAAGAAAACCAACTGCCTTATCTCCTAGGGGCTTAAAAGGTGGCCACTGAGTTACTGTAGCCTAAACCCTGGCCGTGCTGATCTCTGAGGAAAGCTGGCTCTTGCCGCAGGCAGCGCATCTCTGCTGGCAGATGGGGCTGTTCTGGAGGCTTTGGAAGTAGATCGCAGAGGCTTGGGAGTCTGCCCTGACTCACAGAGAGTCGGAACCATGAGCTGTCATCGGTACACCTGGCAGCAGTGATGCCAACAGGTAGGGTGGCCTCTTCGTCTCCCTGGGGCCGTCCACATCCCGCCACTGTTCACACGGGACCCCTGGCTCTTTCTCCGCCTTGCCTTGGCTGAAGCTAGTGAGTGGATGGAGTAACTGAACCTGAAGGGGACTTTCTTACTGTTACTCTTCATCAAACAGTATCCTTTCAGTGTCAGTGCTGAAGAGTGCTAGGGGTGGGTGTGGGGAGCTGGCAGCTCCTTTAAATTGCCGAGTGGACAGGGGAAGCTACTGAAAGAAAATATCTGACTGCTAAGTGCTAGTGGTATCATGTGGTACAAATTGATGTTCCAGCAAAAAGAAAATTTTAGCCGTTATTAAAATGGACTGATTCTTCCCAATGCAGCAGCTACGGGATACCTTAAGCCTGCAGGGCAGGGAGGGGGAGGAGGTCTGCGGGCCACTGGATGGAAACCTTGTGTTCCCATCTCGCTCGGCACAGCCAGCGCCTGTCCCCTCTGCGCTTAGATTATTCCTCGCAGATAGCAATCAACTGGAAGGAAGTATGTGTGTCTAATTTGCATGAGATTATTTAAAACAAAAAAAAAATAGGTCTGCATTAGTCAGGGTGATGGTAAACAATGCATGGCGATGCCTTTTATAATATAGCCTGGGCCTCAGCTTTCAGAGCCAAATATAATTCACTTCCAATTGGCAGTTTCCTTTCTTATTCCTTTTAACCTTTTGGATTCGGCAAGGTCTCAAGCTAAGATCTGCAGTGTTTATTTCAGTGGGGGTGGGTGGAAAGATGGGATCAGGACGCCTGGATGTCTGATTCCTGGTTCCTGTGGCAGTGTCTCAGCCTCGAGGCAGCGTTGTCTCAACACCGGGAGCCAATGACCGTGTAGACGGAGAGCAGCGCATGGGTGACCCTGCTCTGTCTTTGTCCCAGAGGAATCCGTTGAGTCCCACAAATCAAGTCCTAGGGTTGCTCAGTCTTGCCTGAAACGGGGACACTGTGGAGGTGCCGGCGCCTGTCTGGGGAGGTGTTTATGTTTGATGAGGGCTTAGGATATTAGAATGAGCTTCAAGTGAGGACTTTCTCCCGTTGTCACTCTGGGATCGCTCCAGAGGTTGTCTGGGTGTCATTTAGAGGGAGGAGCCTTAGGGTTGACTCGTGTGTTGTCTCGCTGTGGTCCCTGGGTAATATTCCTGTACAGGTGGAGTACCTAGGATAGAGATGGCAGAGGGACAGTCAGGCCTGCTCAAAGCCCTTTAGCAAGTTCATTGATATCCCGCAACTGGTGTGATCATCAGAGTCACAAGTTGGAGAGGGGACCCCAGGCTGGCACTGACAGCCCTCCTCTCAGGCACCTGGCACTCGGGCCGTAGTGTCACCCTCCTTATCTGTTAATCGAGGGCAATGACTGGGGTAATGGTCCAGCTCTGAAATGGTATTGCCCAGTGAGATTGTTAGAATGCTTATTTTTTTCTTTAACAAAGAAAAATGATCCACTTATTGTAACTGAATCAGAATCCTCCTGACCCTCCCCGAGAACGGGGCCATCAGATTGCAGCCAGTGGCTGTTTAGAGCCTCAGACGATAGGGTCGCTGGCAAGCAAGACTTGGGAGGAAATGCTGATGCCCTCTAAGTCGTGGCCTCACTGTGGACCAGCTGTGATGAGGCAAGGCGCGTGTTTTATTAGGAAAGCAGGCTTCGTAAAAGCCCAGGGCCAGAGGGCAGAGGAGCGGGCAGGGAGCCCTGTACCTTTAACCAGCGCCAGCACTCAGGGCCACACGCCGGCCGGTAGCGTAGTGTATATTTCCCCAGCGCTCAACATTATCGTACTTGTTTATATTTGAAAGAGCCAAAAGGGAAAATGAGAATGCAACTGAATGCTCCTTTTGGGAAAATTATCCTCATTTGCAGCCAGCGGCTGACAAGGCACACGAACCACCAGGTTGATGGAATTGCGCAGTGTGCCAGTGACCATCCGCCTCTGCTGACGTGGCGAATGCTGGCCTCCCCCAGTGGCTGATAATGAACTGGTTAAAGCCACGTCTTCCTACTGGAACTCCAAAAGGGAGTGATTGACAGTCCCTCCTCAGGCTAGAGCCCCCAGGGCACAGAGAAGGGGGTCCCAGCCTTTCTCCAGCTCCTCCATCTCCTGGGAAGAGTGGTTCCCTTGCAGTAAGCCGGGCAGTCGGGGAGGAGGACACCCTGCCCGCCGCACTCAGTTCGGAAGGCAGTAAGTGCCAAGAGGCAGAATCCTTGGAACTCTAGATGCTTTCTCATCCGTCCACCTCCTCTCCCCCTCCTACACCAGTCTAGTGAGCGCCCAGAGCTAGCAGGGGCCACCCAGCAACCCTGCGGAGTTCCCAGGACTGTGGCCTGCTCTGTGTGAGGTGGCAGACCTTGGCTGCTCAGCTCAGAGCAGAGGGACCTGGGGCATGTAGAGCAGTTGCGGCGGGCTGTGAAGGCGTGAGGGATGGCAGCAGTCAGCCCGCAAACCAGGGCAGAGCTGTGTGTCGGAGCATTCATGTGCAGCGTCTGTCAGCCCCTTGGCACGGGTAGGAGGCACTGGCTCTGCAAGCTGCTGATCCCGACAAGCTCCTCCACCCCGGGACAAGTGCACCGTGCTGGCCCTAATGGAAAGCTGCCGGCCAGATGTGAAAAAGCGCTCAGCTTTCATTTTAAAAGCTCTGGGTTACAGATCGACTGGATATTGGGCTTCCTGGAACAGTGTGGGCTTGCCGGCCCGAGTGGCCTTTTGCAAACTAGCAGTGACCTCTCACCTGCCTTCCCCACTCACAGCGGTAGCACTTCTGTGCCCACCAGTTACTTCCCAAGTGGGCCCCGTGGGAAAGTTTTTCTCGTGGCCTGGCACTCCCTGGTCTCCTGTTCTTTGGGTAGGTCAGTGCCCAAGAGTCGCCTGTCAGCCTCAGATCCATCGCGGAGATCTCAGTGTGCCCACTGGAAATATGGTCTTCATGGCCGTTTCCCTTGCCTTTCATTCCTGCACGGGCAAATCCTCTCCCCATGTTGTACCCACTGCGGATGGCGCCCTGCTATTTCCTGGTGTCCCACGTGCCGTGTGCTTTAGTGTGTTGGGAAGACTTTAAAAAGGGGGTGGGGAGCCAAAGGCGCCAAGGGCGATGTCGGCAGCCTGTGATAGGCTGGGTAATGATCTTCACAAAGTTTGGGCCTGGCCTTATTTTGATCTGTTTTCTTGTTTTATTTTCTTCTTTACATTCTATATCCCATTCATACTAATCACAGTCAGTCCTGATTTTTCTTTTTATTTCTGCATTTGTCATAAAATAAAGCAAATTATTCCCGTCTTCGGAAACGATCTAGACTAATTAGTCGTCTCACCCAATAATTAGTTTTTTGTTTCCCTGTCTGTTTTCATGCATTATTGTTAGTTTTTTCCCCTCTTTTTTTTTAACACCATTACAGATTAAAATGAGCCACATTTGCAGTTGATGGTATCTGTTTTCGGGGGAAGAATGGAGAATTGCAGTACCGAGTGACTTGAAAAGCAGCAATAAACTCAAGGATAAATTAAGCAAATTGAATGAGCCACATTTGGAAGCAGTGTTGAGGCTAATATTCTGTCGCTTAAGGTTAAATTGCAACTATGAGAGGTTCCGAGAATCCGAAATTGGGGAGGCAGCCTGCTCGGATGCCAGGCACTGTGTGGCAGGCAGGCTGTCTCCTTGGGAAGTCTGGGGGGCTGCTAAGCGCACTGTTGGGGTGCTCCCCTAAACTCACCTGTTCTTCTCGCCAGGGCTGACGGATGAAGAGATTGACCTGGCACTCCAGCAGTCCGGCACTGCCGCCGACGAGCCCGCGTCCTTGGGCCCAGCTGCCCAGCTGCTTCCCGTCCAGTCCCCGCAGCTCGTTGCGCAGCCATACAGTAAGTGCCCACCCCAGCTCCTGCTCTCGCCGCGACCACCTGTCTGGGCGTGGCCAGCGCGCTTGGTCTTCTCTCTCCCATCCTCGGCAGCCCCACCCAGAGCTGGAGATCAGAGAGCTCTTCTTCTTTTCCAAAACAATGTGACAAAACCAGATTTTTTTTGTTAAGATTTATTTATTTTTATTGGAAATGCAGATTTACAGAGAGGAGGAGAGATCAAGAGAAAGATCTTCTGTTTGTTGACTCGCTCCCCAAGCGGCTGCAGTGGCTGGAGCTGAGCTGATCTGAAGCCAGGAACCAGGAGCTTCTTCTGGGTCTCCCACATGGGTGCAGGGTCCCAAGACTTTGGGCCATCTTCGACTACTATCCCAGGCCACAAGCAGGGAGCCAGAAGGAAAGTGGGATTGCTGGGATTAGAACCGGCGCCCATATGAGATTCCGGTGTGTGCAAGGCAAAGATTTTAGCCTGTAAGCTACCATACCAGGTCCTAGATGAACTTTAAAAAAGAAAAAAAAAACACGGGGGAGGAGGAAGACCAGACCAAGTAAGTTGCTTGTGAGAGTCAGGTGTTTTAGCGTGTGGACAACAAACTGTAGGCCTGTGAGTAGCGCTGTCTCCATCTCCTTGCCCGGTGCTTTTGATTGCTACCGTTTCACAAACACATCTTGCGTCCTGAATGTAGACTCATTTGCTCACTTTGAAATAATTTTCTCCCAATTTCTTCTTTTTTTTTTCCTAGTATTTCTTTTTATTTTGTTTGAAAAGCAGAGTTAGAGAGAGATGACGGAGAGGAAGGTGTTTTATCTGCTGGCTTATTCTCCAAAAGGCCGCAGTGACCGGGGCTGGACTGGCCCAAACCGGGAGTGTCTTCCAGGTCTCCCACGTGGATGTGAGGTTCCAAATACACCCCAGGTGCGTTAACAGGGAACTGGAGCAGAAGCAGAGCAGCTGGGACTTGAACTAGCACTCATCTGGAAGGTGGGCGTCCCAGGCGGCAGCTGTACATGCCACACCCCAGGATGGCTTTCTGTAGATGAGGCCGCCCTCCCCCGCCCTCCCTGCCCTCCCTCGCCCTCCCCCGCACCCCCCCCCCGCCCTCCCCGCCCTCCCCCGCACCCCCCGCCCTCCCCTATCCTGGCTGTGTCCTCACGTGGAAACAGAGAACTCCGTGTGGAAGGGGGAAGAGCCTTTGGAGTGCTGCTTTTAACTGTCATGACTACATGGGGTTTTTGTTGTTTTTAAACAAATGCTTCCATAGGAATAAAGGTTCTTCAAGGGGCCAGCCCCGTGGCGTCGCGGTTAAAGCCATTATCTGTGACGTCAGCTTCCCATATAGGTACCGGTTCATCGTGTCCTGGCTGCTCTGGTTCTTTTTTTTTTTTTTTCTTCCAATTTTTATTGGAAACGCAGAGAGAAGGAGATGCAGAAAGCAAGGTCTTTCATCCACTGGTTCACTCCCCAGATGGTCACGAGCTTGGCCAGCCCAGAGTCAGGTGCTTCATCATGATCTCCTGTGTGAGGAGCAGGGGTCTACCTTATCCAGATGTGGGGGAAAAATGGAACATGCATCCCTGCTGCCTCAGGCGAAAGATGGATTCCCAATGAAACTGTTGGACATGTGTAGACTATGGGATGCTGGACTGACACTGTCTGTGCCTACAATGTCAGGGTACACTTAAATAAGAGACTGACAGAATTATGATTCCTTAGGAAGGACTATACCATTATAGTAAAACGGGGAAAATCTGTTGGGGGTGGGAGTTTGGGGGGAAATCCCAGTCTATATGAAATTGTACCACATAATTCAAGAATTCAAAATTTAAAAATATGTATATCTAAACAAATTTTTTCTTCAAGTTAGTTATCAATGTGCACTTTCAAAATAAAACCAAAGGGGCCTGGTGCGATAGCATAATGGTTAAGGTCCTCGCCTTGCACGCTCCAAGATCCCATATGGGTGCCGGTTCTAATCCTGGCAGCTCCACTTCCCATCCAGCTCCCTGCTTGTGGCCTAGGAAAGCAGTCGAGAACGGCCTAAAGCCTTGGGACCCTGCACCCGCATGGGAAACCTGGGGGAAGCTCCTGGCTCCTGGCTTCGGACTGGCACAGCACCGGCCATTGTGGCCATTTGGAGAGTGAATCATCAGCCAGAAGATCTTCCTCTCTGTCTCTCCTCCTCTCTGTATATCTGACTTTGCAATAAAAATAAATCTTTAAAAAAAATAATAAAACCAACAAAATTAAATAAAAATAAAAAAGCAAATAAAACCAGAAACCATTTAAGTTACTTTCACGAAGCCTGAAAGATTAGTTTGAATCAACTACAAAACTTTGGAAAGTAGCTTAATCTTCTTTCTTGCTTTTTTTTAAAAATGAAATATTAAGAAAGGCAGACATGAAGTGAGAGAGGGATGTGAGAGCTCTTCCATCTGCTCTCTTAATGCCCACCTGGCCAGGACTGGGCCGTGCTGAAGCCGGGAGCCTGGAACCCCAGCCAGGTCTCCCACAGAGACACAGGAACTCAGGTTGTTGGCCGCATCCACGGCCTTCCCAGGAACAAGAGAGAGACCCTTCCCGGGAATGAGAGAGAGAGCTGGATTGCAAATGCAGGAGCCAGGACTAAGACTGACACTCCAGAACCAGGTGCAAGCGTTGGCCTGGCACTGTGGCTTCAGCTGCTGTGCCACCATGCTGCGCCATGACAGCCACTTTCTAAGCCATCTTTCTCTGGCTTCACCATTGTTTCCACTTGCAGGCAGATGGCTGCTATAGCAGCCAGAACCAGTGGGGTTGTTCCTTCTCCATTGTAGCTGAGGGTCTGGGGATCTGCTTGGTGTGTCACAGGCCTCCTTTTGTGTGCAGCAAATGAATAATGGCAGCACTGCAGTGCCCCATTGGCTGGCGTCACCACCACCAATCCCAGTGGGCGGAGCCTCAGTGGCACCCTGGGTTTGGGCTCCTGGCTCAGCGCCTGCAACTCCTTTCTCTTCCAGTCCTTGCCGTTTACTTTGTTCTAGAATCTAGAATGTGTCACTCCATTCTCTTCTGGCCTGTAGAGTTTCCTATGAGAGATCTCCTGTGAGTTTAATTGGCATTCCTTTACATGTCAATTGATTTTTTTCATGTGCACATTTAAGGATCTTTTCCTTATGTTCAATTGAAGAGAGCTTGATGATCATGTGTCTTGGTGAAGATCGTTTTTGATCAAGCCTGTTGGGAGTTCTGTGTCCCTCCTGGATCTTGTTTCCCAATTCTTTCTCTAGATTAGGGAAATTTTCCTTTATTATTTCATTAACTATATCTGCAAACTCAGCTTCTCTTTCTGCACCTTCCGGGACTCCCAGCACTCTTATATTTGGCCTCTTAATAGTGTCTTTCAATTCTTGAATACTTTTTTTGGCCTGATCCAGCTCTGCTTCCAGCTTTTTGTTGGCTTTCCCCTGATGCCAGGGGATATCTTCCAATTCTGAGATTCTTTCTTCTGCTTGCTTCATTCTATTTTGGAGACTCTCCACTGTAGTTTTAATTTGCTCTACTGTGTTCTTAATTTCTGATATACCAGCCTTGATTTGCTTTATTGCTTCCTTAAATTCTTTGAACTCTTGCATGAGCTTCTCATTTTGACCAGAATCTTTAAAATGAGTCTGATAGATTCTGTGTCCCCCATTTTCTCAATGTCTTCCTCAGTTAATTCTGAGGTTGGCATAGGGTTTTGCTCCGTTGCAGGGGAGTTTTCAGTAATATTCATTGTGCCTTTGTCTCTTCTTTTGCTCTTAATCATTGTACTTCTAGTTAGCAGAGTCTTCTCCTTGAGGCACATTTCTGAGCTGTGTCACCCACACATCTTCAATGCAATTTTACGTATTGCAGTTGGTACACAATGTTTTGCTTGCAGCCAATTGTGCCACAACCTCCAGCGAGTTCCAGGTCTGGGTTCTTATGTTAGATTTCCACTGTAGTCTCTACAGCCACAGCTCCTGGCTCACCCCTCTCCACCTCCTGTGATACCATGATGAGGCTGCACCGTTGTCTCTGCAACCTTTTCCCCACTTCCGGTTGGAGCAGGTCCAAGGATTAGAGAGACAGCAGGTGTCCTATATAATTAGGTTGTTGGTGGCGCTGATCTTGCTGGAACCTGTTGGACGTTAGGTCTGGGTGCCACATGGACCTATTTTGACCCATGCAGTATTGTTTTCCTGCAGGACCAGTGCAATACCTTGAACTCAGCAAGTTCTCGCGAGCTCAGCACATGTGCAGTTCACTGTTGTCCCCTGTAGTCCTAAAGCTATTGTCATAGTGTACAAAATGGCGCCTGACATACCACTACTAGAGTTCTTGCTCTGCTGGCCGTCAGATCTGAGGGCTACCCAGACCTGCCCCGGCTGGAACCTGTAGAATGCCACGTTGATGCAGTTCACTGAGTCAGAAATGAGTTCACTTGCAGCTCAGCGAATGCTCAGTCCTTTCCCTTGCATTTGCCTCCTCACGCAAAATGGCGCCCAGTCAGCTCTAGGGGGCTGACTGAGCTATGAAATCCACCCTGTTCTCGCACTGACCATCTGGGATCTGCTGCTCTGTCTCTGCTCCTGGTCAAATCAAACAGACCAGCAGGACGGACAGTTGTTTGTCTGGGTTTACCTCCCAAGCTCCCAGTGAAAGTCCCTTCCCACCTGGTTGCTGCTGGAGTTCCGGCTGCTGGTGGAGTTCAGATCACTGTTAGCTGAATGCCCCTGGAGTATCAGTCACTGCAACACCACGCCTTTGTGTCCGCTGCTTTCCTGTGTCTGTCAGTCTCCAGGTACCCCTCTGCTGTTGTTCTGTCCTCTCCTATTTCCTGGAATGTGTCCTCTGTGCTTCAATCCTGATTAAATGTTTTTCCGTCCGTTTAAACGTGTCCTTACCCTATTCTGCCATCTTGATTCTCCCTGCCGTTTGCTTTGGGCCTGAACCCGCTCCCATGTTTCTTTTTCTTCACGTGTGGCTAAGTCACCACCTTTTT